GTAAATGCGAGAATGTCTGAATGTCCTTGGTTATATGTAGGCTAGGGTAGGGTTTTCGATGGGCGAGGGGTGAGAGCCGAGGGTTGACTTCGGCCAGTTAAAGTTTACTTTACTTTCAGGCGACAATTAGCTTTAATTGAATTGCATCGGGGCAAATATCTTATCGAGGCATCATCACCGCGTTAATGGTCATCAAGCATCAATGATCTCTCTCTCTCTCTCCTCTCGCATTCGGTCTAATTGGATGATATATAGATAGGATTCGGTGAGTCATGGAGAGCGCGTGGAAATTGGAGCGGCGGAGCTGTAGAGAATTTACACAAAATCGTCATTTGTATGGTAAACCCGCTGAAAACCCGAAACAAGCACGAAAACAAAACAAACCAAACACAAACACACGCAGAAAATACTGGACAATAAAAAAAGGGCAGTTAGTTGATTTTCTGCACCAATACATTTATATTTGTGTGTGCATTAATTCCACTGTTGCTTCTCTATTTATTTTTTTTTACCAAATTCACTGCCATTACGTTACGTAATTGTTTTGGGAGGTGAATGAAATTTAGCCTCAGCCGCCGAACGAGACCCGACCGCCATTAACATATGTGGGCAACAGGTGCTCTCCTAATATTATTATTGTTATTATTACTAAATTTCAGGCAGCGTGTGCCGTAATTAACCTAATTACAATTTTATCGCTTTAAATAATCCGAACTTGATTATTTTTATATTTGTATTGGGATTACAGCAACAATACGTAACAATAATACACAAATGCCATTTTAAAAGCGACAATTTGTTGAGTTTATAGTCGTAGTCAGGACCGTAATTAGATTTTTTTTCGTTTTAATAACAGTGTAAATATTACATAAAAATAATTGAAATTAATAATTTGGAACAATCATTTTTTGGTTACTATTTGCATTGTATGAATGTTGCAATACTAACATGAAATTTTAGAAGACTTATCGAGGACTTTAAAACCGCATGAAAAATAATGTTGTGTATTATTATTTTAGAATTCGTTTTTATTTTGGTCAATTAAAATTTAGTTCGTTTTGAAATATTCAAATTGTATAGTGAATCCGCACTAATCGACGTAGCACTTTGCGAGGTATTGCTTTATATAATTTATAACGTAAATACTTTCCAAATAACGTGCCGAGTATATTTACTTGTTGAAATACACGCAACGTGTCAATATCAACACTTGTGACGGATTCTAATCCTAGAATAATGTCCGGACTAATCGAGGACTTTAAAACCGCATGAAAATTAATGTTGTGTATTATTTTTTTAGAATTCGTTTTTATTTTGTTCAACTAAAATTTAGTTCGTTTTGAAATATTGAAATTGTATAGTGAATCCGCACTAATCGAAGCAGCACTTCGCGAGGTATTGCTGTATATAATTTATAACGTAAATACTTTCCAAATAACGTGCCGAGTATATTTACTTGTTGAACTACACGCAACGTGTCAATATCAACACTTGTGACGGATTCTAATCCTAGAATAATGTCCGGACTAATCGAAGACTTTAAAACCGCATGAAAATTAATGTTGTGTATTATTTTTTTAGAATTCGTTTTTATTTTGGTCAATTAAAATTTTGTTCGTTTTGAAATATTGAAATTGTATAGTGAATCCGCACTAATCGAAGTAGCACTTCGCGAGGTATTGCTGTACATAGTTTATAACGTAAATACTTTCCAAATAACGTGCCGAGTATATTTACTTGTTGAAATACACGCAACTTGTCAATATCAAGACTTGTGACGGATTCTAATCCTAGAATAATGTCCGGACTAATCGAAGACTTTAAAACCGCATGAAAATTAATGTTGTGTATTATTTTTTTAGAATTCGTTTTTATTTTGGTCAATTAAAATTTAGTTCGTTTTTAAATATTCAAATTGTATAGTGAATCCGCACTAATCGAAGCAGCACCTTGCGATGTATTGCTGTATATAATTTATGATGTAAATACTTTCCAAATAACGTGCCGAGTATATTTACTTGTTGAAATACACGCAACTTGTCAATATCAAGACTTGTGACGGATTCTAATCCTAGAATAATGTCCGGACTAATTGAGTACTTTAAAACCGCATGAAAATTAATGTTGTGTATTATTTTTTTAGAATACGTTTTTATTTTGTTCAATTAAAATTTAGTTCGTTTTGAAATATTCAAATTGTATAGTGAATCCGCACTAATCGACGCAGCACTTTGCGAGGTATTGTTTTATATAATTTATAACGTAAATACTTTCCAAATAACGTGCCGAGTATATTTACTTGTTGAAATACACGCAACGTGTCAATATCAACACTTGTGACGGATTTTAATCCTATAACAAATTTAAAAATACATTCATTGTGGAAATCGATAAAGCGGATATAAATATAAAAAGTACGTATTTAATTAACACAAGTACAAATGCATCCAAATTCATTCATGAAAAATTGATAAAATACAAGTATCCCCCGACTTACGAACTAGTTCCGTTTCAAAGGGTTGTTCGTAAGTCGAATTATTTGTAATTCGGGGATTTTACTTTTGGTTTTTACTTTTATATATGTTAAATTCCGTATTACGGACTGCATAAATTTGAAAAATAGATTAAAATAAACAAAATACTTACTTACATATACTTTTCAATGAAAACATCACAATTATTTAACAAAAAACGACAAAAGAAACAAATGCAACAAAACAGATAGTACATCTTCCAAAAATATTATATTTTATTAAAGAAATTATCAATTTTTGTTTGAACAGTTAATTTTTTTATCACTATATAACAAGATCCTTGTAACAAGAGCTTTTAGAATTTTGTTCGTAAGTCGGGGAATACCTGTATTTAAATTAGCATCTACTTAACACAGCGATGCAGTAAAAGGTACGAAGGGGGCGTTACAAAGGCACCTGAGGGAAGTGAAGTTAGAAGTGTGAAAACATTGGTACTTTTGGATTTCTTAAGGGGGGGGATGCCCACAGCAACCTTAATGCGGCCCTGCTGTTAAATCCGATACAATAGTGACGGGTTCGAATCTCATAACAATTTTTTTTAATCATTGTGGAAATGGATAAGCCCCCAAAGTGGACACTAATTATACAAAATACGCATTTAATTAATACAAGTACAAATGTAACATATTACACACAAATCTGTCTTAAGCATTAGGCACAATTCTTAAAACTCACAACGTTTTTGGGGGTCCCAAGAGAGTTTTGGAGACACACAAATTATAGTTCAATCAATTCTTCATCCTTGAAAAATATTTAAATTAGAATCAACTTAACTTACACGACAACCTTAATCCGGTCCTGCTTACACAAAAATCGCTACTTGACAAATTACTTCTGCAACCGCATTACTCTATTTGTATAAAAGTAAATAATAGAAAGAAACTATTTAAAAAAAAAGCGTAGACATATATACACTTTTTTGTGTTGTTCCTCGTCGGTGTTATTCAGAATAAATTATTTTGTATCTTATCGTCTAGACTCGAGAAGGAATTTTCTACACATCTTTTTTGCGTCTTTTTACTACGTTTTATTCAAGTTCATTCATTGTTTATGCCTATTTCCGAGAAACTAAACAGACGTCTGCGTTTTTTTTTGTAGAATTCTTTTCACTAGTCGAATATAGTATTTTTTCTATCAAATTTAATTAAATCAAAATATTTAAATTTACATGCATATTACTAGCATAAATTATAATTTTAAATAAATGTAGTAAAAATTTTCTAACATAATTTCTAAATACAGTTTGAAAATTGAATTGAAATTATGGATTAATATAAAATGTACTTATTCCGTTCTGGAAACATTAACAATAACTTAGATCTGGATCATATTTTATCGTTTAAAATAAATATATTCAAAGAAAAGTGCTTCATACTAATTTATTTGTATTTATAAAATCATCTTAACCATTTGATAAAATGTTAATTTAAATGAGTAGGAAACATACAATATTAATAAAAAAAACAGAATGAACGCTTTATGCAGATGAAAAACCCGTTAATTCCCGGTTGTTAAATTTAAACGGTCGATTATCTAGTTGTTTAACATTCATTTAATTACATTGCAATGAAAAATCTCTTATAAGAAATATACTTGTTTAATTGATAGAAACCGTTTATAAATATGTAAATTTAATAAATCAGTTCATTAATAGACAAAATAAACATCAAAGACATTAGCTCATAACTTAAAATGAATCTGAAGAAATCTTAACTCATATTTTTATAATATTTATTAAATAATTATTTTGTAACAAATTCTGATAAAAAAATGCTTTAATTATTATTATGTAAGAATTAAATAAAAATTAGATGATTATTTATAAATAAGGAAATCTTGTTTTTGTTCTTCATTTTAAATTTATTAGTCTTATTAATGAGAATATGCACAAAAAATATGTGAGATAACTTTTAGAAAATTATAACGCAGCTCAATTTTAATTTGATTTAATTATGTTAAAAAGGTTAGTCTTATTATGCTTAAATTACGTATGTTAATTATAAAAAATACCAAAAAATCTAAAATGTAAGTAATTAATAAAACGTACTAGGAAATTTCATCTTAGTATTTTTTGGAGGATTGCATTAAATATCATACAGTTTAAGCCGATTACGTAAAAGGGTGAGTTTTATGCTAGTTGTAAAGATTACAATTTCTAAAAGATAATTTAATTTGAAATTGGTGCTAGTTAACAATTTGGTACAATTATGTATTATGTTTTTAATGTTTTTTTAATTGATGCTTTTATTGTTCACTTAATGCTCTAATTGTATCAATTAAGCATAAGACAGGTGAGAAACAACGAATATTGGATTGTTTTCAAGCGTTGCTATGTATGATGTTATTATGCAATTATTATGTGTGCAATATATTTTGAGGAGGAACAATGTGCGAATCTAGTCTATAGTAGTATATTTATCGGAGTTAGGACACGGCGACGGCTCCGAAGGGGCGGCAGGAAGGAAAGAAGGAAGAGGAGAGAGACCTGGTGCTATACCGGAGCGTGCGTGCACCACGGAAAACGCCCGCGCCCCTCCGCGCTCCGCTGCGCCTCTGGCCCCGCCGGCGCCCCCCGCGACGCCTGCGCACCGCGCCTACCTTTGTTGTGGGGGTGTAATTAAGTTAGAAAAGGATGCACATACTATTGACGTAATACCGGAAGTAATCGAGATCAGGCGAGGTTGCGCGAACGGAATTTTGTTCTGTGGTTCCGCCGAATCCATTGGGCCAGTCGAACGCGAGCCGCGGATCCGAAAGTAATCCAGTTACGACATCGAGCACAAAACACAGTAATCTAAACGTGAACGAACCACAAACACACACACACTCTACCGCAGAGAAGACAACAATAGCCAAGGACCCAAAGTCCTCGAGTCCGTGCAGGAAGAGGAAGCAGCCTTTTTATTATATTTTTTTTTTTTTTGGATTTTCTTTCTTTTTTAATTTCGTCTTCATCTCAACCGCAACGCTCCTCGAAGCATGTAAGTTCATACTCACTTTTTATCTTTACTTTTTTTGTTATTATTATTATTGTAGAAGAATTCAAGCTCTTTGGTTTGTTGGTTTCGTGGAGGAAATAATTTGTTCGGCAATTATTTCTGGCTGTTAATTGTAGTCGGTTTTTAGAGAAAAAAAAACACATTAGCAGTTGTTGAATGTCACCGTTAGGACTTAACGCGAGGGAACGAACTTGATCGAATTATTTGAATAATTCAATTGTCACTTGTCAAATTTGAATTCCTGTCATATGGTGCAAATTACTTTGATGAAGAGGAGAGCGAGCGCAATTCCTTAAATTACAGACCGCGTCGCTCTTCGTTTTACCTCGGCACTTCCGCTCTTTCCCAACGGCAAAGCCAGCCAGTATCTTGTTTGTTTGTAGAAAACGAAAAGCTCACACGGGATGGCAGGATTTCCATGTGGAGTAAAAGCAAATATTGCAGTAGTGGCACCTCGTATGTCTTCTTCCTACAGCCTTAATCCTCTTTCGGTCTTCAGCGTGTTCCCCTCTTACCGTGGCGTTACGTATAGATTGCAAAACAAAAGATCAAAGGTCATTTTGTTCTGGAAACGGTAGGTCGCGGGAGGCACGAGATTGCATAATACGCTGCGCTCCACGCCTACGCCGATGCGTCACGTTCGTTATTAATTTCGCAGCGGTTGCGTAACCGACGGATTCGATTAAAATCGCCAGTCTTGTGGCATGCCATAGCCATCGACCATCGGAGACGGCTACGGCAGCTCCAGCTGTGGTGGCGGCGTCGTCGAGGGTAGGAGGTGCAGGGGCGAAGGATAAAAAGAGCGTAAATGTTTTTCTTCGGATCAATTTCTTCCTCTATCTCGCACTCACTTTGTTAGCGATACGGATTGGTTGCCGGGCACTTAACTTGATCCTCCAGCTCCGTATAGAGTTACTGGGATATGCTATAGAATCGGGCGAGAGCATAAGAAATGCCTCTGGTGTTCTGGTGATACGGTTTCATTAGCCTATTTACATTTCCGCGTAAAAGTATTAGCACAAGGGCTGTTACCCACGTATCGAACATTTCCGGTTTACCGCGGCGAAGGATAACGGCCACCTACCGCCATCAACCAAGATCAGCAGAACCTTTATTATTCCTGCAAAATCACCAAGATACATAACGTTCTACACTAAAAGCTTCATCTCACAAAAGATGTCTTGATAGTTCAATACCTTTTCAAAAACATATGTTGCTTAAACCTTATCCATCCTATAAAATGTCTTCAAATTTTGAATGTAAATACCTTATATTTCTTATTCTAACATCACAAAGAAACATGATTTAAATTCCTTAAAACATTATATTATTACTACATAACGACAAATCTTTAGATTATATACATAAGTTTCTTAAATCCATTATTTCATTTTCTTACTCACAAATTGAATGAATACATTGTAGATAATTTTTATTAATATTACTGTAAACAAAATAATTTATTTTTTATGTTAACATCCCAAAGAAATATAACAATTTTATATACAAATATTCTTTAACATTTTTTTATAAATTCTTCATTAATTGTTTAATCCTAGTAACAAACAAAATGATAGTTTTTAATGATCCATAAAGGTATCAAAAATAATTTAATATTTACTTCTTCTCTATACTAATAAAAGTTATCGCTTTTATAACGTTTCATAACCAAATCGATTTTAAAATCAAATCTCAACATATCTTTATATATTTTTTATTCTCTTAGTTGAAATTATATAGTTGTTCATTTACTAATTCATTCAGTAACAAATTGACTATTATTTAGTTTAATTATAAAAAAATATAACATTTTTAAGGGACAGTCATTTTGACCTAGTGTCGGTAGGTTTATATTATCTATAACAATAATAATCAATATTTTAATGTAAATATATTAGTTTAAAAAAAATCATAAACATATCTTTAAAGTTGCTTACTTATTATGAAATCATTATCCTTCTAACCATGTGCTGTCACGTTAATCTCGATTATTTAACTATAAATCAGTATCAATAATCTTGAGTAATAACCACATTAGCAAAACAAATTATAAAACAAATAACATCAAAGGATGATATTTATTTTCTATTTCATGATGGAATTGCATAATATAGGTTACGAATGCGGTGCAGTTCATCTATAGGGTTTTAGAAATTCGATTTGTGCGCCACATTCTGAATATTCCGATGTATTGATTTCTCGAGCAATCCAACTTGTTGTTCGATCTTGTACGGCGGATGCGAAAGGTCTTCCCAATTCAACTCTGGGATTCGTCTTGTCTAAGGTCACGTTTGGCGCATGAGGTCTAAAGCATTGTCATGCAACTGAATAACTCGTTCGTGATAAATCTGCAAGCATCTTTCCACGTAATCTCATGGATTGATCGGCGTCCAGAATTGCGGTTAATTAAAATAGTAATTGATAATAAATGTAAAGAATTGATGTATATATATATATACGTTTTGTAATTAAAAGGGCATAAAAAAAAATAAGTTAATACGCGGAGGCGTCTTTAACCATTAAAGACTAATCACTTTAAGACGTTTTGTGGCGTTAAAATTAATTTACTCTCTTACAAATTGTGTGCCATTAATATTCGCGTCGGAAGACGGCAGTCAAAGCCAGAGGAGAGAGATCTTATTAAAATGCGGGTAATATGTTCCCTTTTGTTTAACGACAATATTGACTTAACCCATTTAGAATTACTAAGAAATAACATGAGATATTATTTTTTTTATAATATTTGTATATTACAATCATCGCTAAATCTATTATCTAATGCTGATCCACATAGAGCACTCTTCCTATTACATCACGTATTTTGCAAACTATACAATAATTGGTTCTAAATTCAGTTTGCAACATGTTATGCAGACCATCACTTTATTGTTTTAAAACACAATCTAAGATACAAACAGTTTTGTTGACTATTAAGCGTCAAATCGAGGACCTCTTAGCAATTTAGTCACAGTATAACTACAAACAAAAAATAATTGCATGGCAGAAAAATTGGGAAACGCAGTTTTAAAGGAAGCTTGACATTATATAAACAAAAGAATCATTTCAATTTGCTCAAGTGTGAAGGATAAGAGACCAAATATTTAAGCATTTTGTCATTAAATCTGTTATGTAATTGAGAAGCAATTGTTTCTCAGAGCAATTATGCATGTAATCATCGAAATAAGCGATATTTAATGCGATACTACTAGGTAACTATTGAGTTTCTTTTTCGTAAATGTTGATTAGTATTAGCTTCAGTCTTGAATATATTTAGGTGTGTTTTAAATAAAATCAAATTTTTAATATTGCTGTTATTCCTATATGAATATAGGAAAGTTACTATATTTTTTGCATCCTGTAATTAAGATGCAATTTTTTAAATGAAAAGCAAACTGTAATGTTTTAAAAGTCAGAAAAGTATTGCGCTATACTTGTCTAATATAAGGCTACAAGTATTTATGTATATAATAGAATTTGAATATGACGAAAACATTCAGAAAAAAAAATAATAAGTTTCATCTCAATTCCAATTAGATTTTTCTACGTGAATAGGTGCGTCTTATGGTCAGAATATTTACAACCAATTACATTGAGGTTAATCTACGTTCACGTCACGTTAGTTACACTTTAATCAAATGTTTTGAGGTGGCTCATAACAACACTATAATTGCCAAGTAAATTTTAAATTAGATTTACTTGGAAATGTGTACAAGAGTTTACAGCATTTGTGATAAGTCAGCTCCTTATTTCGAGAACTTATGAGTAATATTTTTCACTTGACAAGTACCGCGTATTGATTACAATTAATTTCTTCGCTTATATAATTAATATAATTTTTTTTTCCGCCTGCTACTTCCCTCTAGGAAGAGCCTCTTCCATTAATATAATTATTTTATTAAAATGTATGTTTATTGAATAGTTGAAATTTTTCCAATAATTCTGCACGCCATTGGATTTCAGTCACTTTTCGAAATCAGTGGCGCCGTATAAAGTGTGTTTTATGTTTGATAAAGAAAGGTTGAACGTGAAAGCATACATAACACGCAATTGCCATTGTTTCTGCGTTAGTTTCGTTGCGTTTTTAAATACTAATGATTTGTGTTCGCCGTTTGTCATCTCGTGATTCACGGCAGCGGAATAAAATGCCGTCAGTCACTTGCGCGAGAGCGTTACGAGGGAATTTTAATTAAGGTGCCTTATAAGAGTGGAAGGTGTGGGCGCTCTCAATTGTTTTTCATTTAAACTGCGTGACTTAAATGAATTAATCAATTTTTCCGTTCCCCTCCTGTTACGCTTCTATTATTTCCACCATCATCATCATCACCATCGTCAACAAAACAAAACAAAACAACAGCATAATCCTCATCGCCATTACTGTATTTTTTTTGTGTACACACCTTCTCCCGCTTTCCACTGTGTCAAAGTTGATGTAACGTCAACTTGTCAAATAATAAACAAACAATAACGACGCATCCAAAACGAGGGTGGTTGTGGATATTGATGATGATGCGTGAATGTTGCCTCACGTATCGTATGTGTGGGCCACGGTGTGGGCCCACGTGAACTCATTACAACCACATCACATTTTCTAGCGCGTGGGCGTTATGGAAGCGCGTATGGATGCACCTACTCATCCACATAACTAGATGATCGAATTCGAATGTATTCCCAAAAGCTGTATCGCCTTTCTTCACGAAATTCCTCTTGATATTTTCTCTATCTTCTTCATATTATTTTTTATTTTTTGGGTTTTGTAATTCCCCGACGCGTCGTGATCGTCGTTAGATCGTGACCGCAATATTCTGTATATTCCGTCGATAGATTGCGACGTTGCATCATGCTGGGTTCTGCTGCACAAAGGTCTGCTCTTCCGAGCGACGGTTTGACAAACAGGATTTACGGCGCGATGGACACCGGATCAACACACATACACACACAGCGCGCCCGCTAATTGCCTCATTCAACACCCGTTGCAATCTCGA